CGGTATGAGGTCCCAAGACGCACTGCAACTTGTTGTTCACACTGTGGTCGGGCGCTGGCAAGGGCTGTTGAGGGGAGAGGGAGAGTGGTGTGAGTATGCTGCAGGTGCCCAGGTGCCTTGCTCTCCCAACCGCTCACTCATATCCATCTGCTCTGCACGGCATGCAGGCGTGACGAGCGAGGAGGAGCTGCTCAGTCCCGATAACAAGATACGCCCGGATGCCTACCTCGATTCCCTGGCTGACGTGCTGCGCCTCAGCACTGCATAGCGTGTAATTGCCGGACCCAGGCCCAGTGGCTCGTGCCATGATATTGCCCGATTGATGCCATGCTGGAGCGAGAGCATGGTTCCTCCTGTCCGTAATTCCCGGCTCAGATGTGTCCAACGTCAAGGAAGAAAGTGGGGCTGTCAGCCTTTTGCTTGTTGCACCACGGCACACAGGTCTCGTGCCTTTGACAGCACCTTCATCCTGTAATAATCACGCGAATCGCTAATGTCACAATCTTCACAGTCAGCAAGGTAGATTTTCGGCATCACCATGGGAGCGTCGGAGTCAGCGGTCAAAGGTGATGGCTTTGCGCTGGTTGCTCTTTCCCTTGGGCCCCTTCTCGTCAAAGCTGGATGCATCCTTGCTTGGCATGCGCAGGATCTTGGTGGCCTCACCCTTGAGGCCCGAGCCACCCTTTTGACGCTCTGCCAGCCGCCGCCGCTTCATCTCGGCCTGAAGTAAGGGGGATGGATTTGGTTATTCAGAGCCCCTCACATTGAGGCACACAGCACGTAGGCGTGCCAAGACAATGAACAATTTGCCCACCCACCCACGAGCACCATTCCTCCCCATGCGCCTCACGTTTCTCATCTTCTCCAGCCGCAGCCCCGCCTCCCGTCGGGCCGCATTGCCCAGGGCATCATCCCAGTCAAAGGTGAGCGACCTGTCCTTCTTCACGCTGGCCCAGTCCGCGAACTCATGCACCAACACCTGCATGGAGCCAGGGATGTGGCGCCATTGTTTCCACTATATGCTCTGGGATCAGGCGTTTGGACAAGCTGCAGGCCTGCAACAAGCAGCAAAGAGTGCCATGGCTTCCAACTGGGCATAGTGTATACACACTCACCTCGTTCTTGCCATTGGGGAGCGTGTGACTGCACAGGCTGCGCAACACCGCAGGGTCTGCCCTCTTCTTCTCAGGACTGGATGCAGGGTTGTTGAGAGGGAGGGCGATGGTATTGCAAATGAGTCGTTCAACTTTGTCAGCAATCGTGGAGAACAAAGGCTGCGACCGACTCACACATGCCCTTGTACCTTTCTTCTAACCCTTCAGCAAACAAACAGCGACTCAATTGCCCATTGCCCCACACACCTGCCCAGGATGAGCCCATGCACTCTGAGCGACAGCTTGTCCTTGGCACCCGCCAGTTTCCTCATAATCTCTACCCCTGGTTGGCGCAGCTCCCCATCAGAAACCTGTGGGGGGAAAGGTGATGCGTCGGGTTGCACTTGTATACAATTGACACATGCACCTGTTTCGGTGGCAACCTGCCGGCAGATCCCGAGGCTAGTCCCACCCCCTCCTGTCCAAAGCATCACCAGCAAGATGTCAGAGTTGGCCCATTTGGCATCTGTCAGCCTGCTCAGGCACAGCTTGATGGGGCTGTTGAAGTCAGAGCCGCCATTGAAAGTCTTCTCCAAAAAGTCCAGCAGGTTATGGATGCTCTTCATGTCCATGTTCAGCTCAAGCTCTCGGACCTGCATGAGGAAGATGGGGTGGAGGAGGCTTGGTCGGAGTACAGGGATCCTGACTCCTTCAGTCAGTATGGGAAAGGAACAACGCGTGGGCGAGTACAATGAAGATCATCAGACACGCATCCCGCTACCAAGCTCAGAAATGGGCTGGGTATGAGTCCAGCCACCAGTCCCTAATTCACACACGGACTGATGTCACGCTCCCTCACCCCCGGTGAATACACACCTCCCCAATCCCCACCATCTCCACATAACAGGCAGAATCTAGCATGCTCACCTCCTGGAGGCCTGCAAACGCAAACACATAGCAGGCCCTGTCTTGCGCCTTGGCTGCCCTCATACACTCCAGCGCCAGCGCCTTTGCCACCGTTTCCCGAGGCCCACGCATGCTGCCTGCGAGCATGGGAGGAGGGTGGGCGCTGGGCAAGATGATTATGGGCTGGAACCTTGCCACCAAGCCCACGTGTCCATGGTACAAGTGCCTGCATGATGCCATCTTCAAAGTTGCTCCCCTGCCCAGGTGTCTTCTGACCTGAGGTATCCACACAGAGGAGAATTGGGCCCCTCTCAGCAGTGGGCCGCACCTCCCTCCTCTCTGGTACGGTGCTGGTGGGGAACTCCGACCAGCCGTCACGCTCGTAGCACTGCAGCGCCTGCTCTGCCAGCTTGGCAAAGAAGAGCAGGCGCGCCTGGCGCACCGTCCTGCCCCTTGCGAGCAGGGCCGCCTACGTGCCGGAGGTTGCAGGGAAGTTGGCCGGCACATCTGCATTGGCAAATCCTGCCTGTGGGGGCCAATGGCAGGGTACCCCCAGCGATCTTGTACACGCTCATGAGAAACCATTCAATTCACGATCCCCAGTCCCTCACCTCTGAGGGCAGCATGCGCGAGAGGTCATCCCCCCTGGTCAACCCCCTGGTCTCCTGCGCCTCCAGCACCGTACGCAGGAGGCCGGGCCGACCCCTGTCATCCAGGTATTGCGTTGGGGCGCGGCGCAGTGGACCCCAGCCGCCACCTCTGTGGGAGTTGGGATCAGAGTACGAGACTATCGGGAATGCCATCCCGGGAGCTTGGGAGCATGTCATGGACGCAGATGTTGAACAGGAACCAAGATCCCTTAATCGCAGCTCTGCATCTTTGAAGAAGGCTGTCTGCTGCACCGGAAGAAATTTGTTGACATGCTGGTGCCATGCCCAGCCACATCTAGTGGCGCCAGGTGATTAAGCAACCCCACGCTTCGGCCCTGCTCCCTGCCTTGCCCCGTGCGCACCTGCCCAACGACCGCACCAGGTCCCGCAGCTCCTTCACATCCTCCAGCTTCTCTCGCAGGGCATCCATGGCCGTCCACCCTTTCCTCCCCCAGATGCCGCCGCCCAGGTCAAATGCATTGGGGTCGCCACGACCGCCCCCCAGCAGCGCCTCCATGCCCTGGATAGTGAGGAGACAGAGGGGAACTCTCATTATTGGGCACGAGGAGACCAAGAGGAAGTCGAGTTGACTTCTGGGAATTGCAAAGAGGCTCATTGCAAGAGAGGTGTCATCATTTCATGCACCAATGAAGCTGACCGGCTTGTTGCTTTCGTCAGGCGAGCAAGCATCACCATTCAATACCCGACCTCAACAAAAGTCCTTTCCTATACCACCACAGCTGATTTGGCTACCTCAACACACCTCAAAAGCGCGTCCAGCGCGAGACAGGGTGGTGAGTGGCTCCCTCCACATCTTCACCAGGGCAGCCACAAGCTTCTGGGCAGCTTCCTCCTCCTTTGTCTTCGGCTCTGTGGAGTCGGGCTCCTCCTCCTCGACTTCGCTGTTGCCCGGCTGAGGCTGGCCCGGGACTGGCGCCCGCGGCTTCCCATCAGCCGCCACAACGTTGGGGTTGCGGATGCCCTGCTTCCCTCCCTCTGCTCGTCGGGCCGCCTCCTCTGCCTGCAGCTCGGCGATGGTCTTGTACACATTTCCGCTGGCATCTCGTGCACGCCCTTCCTCCTCAATCAGCCCAGAGACTGGGAATGCGAGGGGGTTGAGGGATGTGTAGGATGGGGTGCCAGCATCATGTTTGCCTGAATATCCACCATTAAGATTCACTTTGGCAGCTCCAGAACTCAACAAAGTAATTCTCAAGCAGTTTGTGGATGCAATTGCGCTACCTCATGCTTCTGCTTGATCCACTGTTTGCCTCCTCCCACTCACCCGTCTTCTGGTACTGACACACCACTTGCACCAGGCTCTTGAGCAAGGCCTGCAGCACAGCAGGGTACTTTTTGGCAAACCGCCCAACTCCAAGCACGGTGACTCCCCCTGTGGTGTGAGCATGGAGTGGTGAGAACCACGAGCCGGTCTGTTGAAGGCTCGAACTTGGGGAAGAAACCATGAGCCGGCCACACTCCCTGAGACACGCATGTGCACCTATGAAGCACAGCCTAATCCCTGATGCTATGTAAACCATGGATGAACCCACTGGCATCTCTCCAATCCCTAGCGGCTCACTCAGGAGGGCAGCTCGAAGGGGTTCATCAGGCCACCTCAGGTCCTCCAGCTTCCTGTCGCCGCCAACAAACCCAGGGTTCTCAGCCATGGCCACCAACGTCTCGTCGTCGGGCACAAGACCCTCTTGTAGTGCCGCCTGTGTGATGTGATGTGCTTTGAAAGGTGTGGGAAAGGAAGGGCTCCAGTTTGCAGAAATTTCAAGGTTTGTCAAGCTTACAAAGGACAATCCAGCAAGGTTACTTTGCATACTGCATTGAGTTTTTTCTACTGTAATTCATTACATCTCCAAATGCCCATGCCACCAGCAGGTCCGTGCAGCTTACCTGCCAGATGAGCAGACCGCAGGCTGCGTCCTGGAGGGCATCAGCTGTGTCAGAGCCCGAGATGCTGCTGCGGATGTGGCTGAGGCGCAGCAACCAGGGCATGAGGCTGGTGGGAACACTTCCAACATAGCCCAGACCATTGATGAGGTCGGTGTGCCCAGCCATGTGGGGTTGAAGTGCCGCACGTTCCGGCGACGCTACTGCTGTCGGAGTGCGTGGCCCTGATCGTCGTCCCGCATGCGAGTGCTGACGACTGCCTCGATCGGCCGCCATGACAGGCAAGTTGACCTTGCTGCCGTATACTGGGTGCGGGAAGATGCATGCGCATCGGTGCGGTGTCAGATTGGTGGCGGCATTCATGCCAGGAGTGTTCAGGTTCGACATCCTTGAGAACCTCCCGATACAAAGGCCGGGCGGCAAATGATCTTCGAGATCCAATCACGACATGAAAGAATTTTGCGAGGGTTGATTTCCATGCAATGCGGGAGCTGTGTTGGCGACTCTCCTCCGGCATGGAGGTCGCAGCGCGCTAGGATCAAAGGATATCTAAAGCCAGAGTGGCTCAGCGCGCGGGCGCATGCACCCGCAGGTGTTGCATGCAGCGCGAATACCAGCCTACGCATGCCACTGTTCTCCAATAACTCGGCTCAACAGATATTAAAACCTAGTGTTCAGTCATAGTCTAACTAAAACCGACTGCCGCCACATTACTATAAAACTCTGCTCCCGCATCCTTGTACTGGGTTGGGACCGCATTGTCGGCTGGCAGTTTTGAATGCCGCCAATGAAGCGAAGAGCGGACACACAAGATGAGGACGAGTGCCCGTCGACCAGTGCACCCAAGACAATTGGACAGATGGTCGAGCACATTGGCAACAAGCAGGTCCGGTCCACCAGGTTTCGCGAGCTGAAGCGGAAGGAGGACCGACGGAAGAAGGCAGAGAGGAAAAAGCGGCAAGCAGCAGCCGAGAAGGCAGAGAAAGCGGGTGCAGAACCCGTACCGAAGCCGGTCCCCAAGGTAAGGGGGCGGGGTTGCCAGGATGGCCGTGGGGCAGAGTGTAAGTGAAGGGCTGCAAATGCGCCAAGGGCACCTTCACTGTGTGCATGAGCTCCTGGCAACTCATCAGCACAGTTAGTATGAGAATTTCAACACTGGCGCTTCCTCCCATCACCATCTCAGACAATCGAGAACACACGAGAACTGGATGAGACTATTGTTGCGCCGGATGACGAGGAGGTAGCTGCAGAGGAGACACAGGATGAGTTTGCAGGTGAGAAAGGGAGAATTCTCAGGCGTGGCAAAGGGAGAGGGCGATGGCGCCTGAACAGGGGTGCCCTGGTTCTTGGGAGAGTTTTTGGTTGGAGAGTGCAGTTGAGACACACCTTGAACCATGATGGCACCCTCTCCAGGGTCCCCCACTACACCCGCTCACCATTCCTGGGACGTGTTCTCGCAGATCACTTTAAGAGGGTGCGCCCGCCACATGTGCTCATCACCACCTGCTTCAAGCCATCTGGGATCATGTACAAGTTCATAGCCGAGCTTCTGGAGGTGATGATGAGCGCGTACTCGATGCATCTTCATGGGGTGCAATGGCAGCATGAGGGGGGCGTTGCACTCATATTACCGCAGGGAAGGCTGCGGGATGCTGACAGTCCCCCGGTAATCAGGGTCTCATCGCCTCCCACCCCTTTATTCCATACAGGTTTTCCCCAATGCCACATACTACAAGCGCCAGGGTTTCCCGCTGAAAAAGATCGTGCAGTTTGCGAAGAATCGCGACTTCTCAGACGTGGTGGTCATCAACGAGGACAGGAAGATGATCAACGGCATGCTGGTGACCCACCTGCCAGAGGGCCCCACCGCCCAGTTCAGGCTATCAAATCTGAAGCTGTCGACGGAGATCTCGGTATGTGGTGCGGGGCGCTCACGGGGATGAAGCAGGCATGCTTTGCATGGACTCAAGACATGCACAGGGCATGGCTGAGGCCATGGATGCCTTGCACGCATATCCCAGACACTGCCTGGTTGCATGCAGATACTGTGTGACAGTTTGTGATTTGAGGCACAGTATGAACCCCATCACGTTTCAGTAGCCCTCCAAAGCCATACCCCTCCCTTCCCACCTTCCACCACAGAACCACGGCCGCATCTCATCCCATCGCCCAGAGGTGGTGCTGAACAACTTCTCCACTCGACTTGGGCACCGGGTGGGCCGCCTCTTTGCCTCCCTCTTTCACCAGGACCCCGCCTTCCGGGGCAGGAGGGTGGTCACCTTCCACAACCAGCGCGACTTCATCTTCTTCCGGTGCGGAGCGGCCAGTAGGCCAGACATTATTAGGCGTTGAGGGTGGCTGACAAGGCTGTGCCAGTAGGATATGGGAGAAGGATTCCCCATGCTTGCTGGCCACATGGCTGGCCCTTCCAACCTGTCACCAGATCACAAACCCCAACTCTCTATTCCCCCTCTCCAGGCATCATCGCTACATCTTCGAGGAGAAGGCGGACCGGAGGACAAAGGAGGCGCGAGTGCAGGCGCGGCTGCAGGAACTGGGGCCACGCTTCACTCTGCAGCTGGAGTCGCTGCAGAAGGGAACCTTTGACTCCAAGTCTGGCGAGTTTGAGTGGCTGAACAGCGGGGAGCAGGACACCTCCAGGCGCCGCTTCAAGCTCTGAGGCGAGACGCACGTCGGGAGGCTGTGTTTCCTTGCGATGACTCGGATGGTTGCGCTGCCCTGTAACCTGCTTCATCCGCCCGGAGCAGAGCACCGAGATGCTTGCATCCGCTCCACGATGTGGGATGTGTGGGGCGTGGGTGCTTGGAAGTGCCAGTTCCCACCAAGGCTGGGCTCTCTGGCAGGCTGGAGTGCCATGGTCAGAGCTCGCGGTACCTCTTACCAGAGACGTAGTGAAGTACCTGGGGAAGCACCTGCTGGAGGGAGGCGGCAGCGGTCGCCAGGTTCTCCAGGAACTCGTCCTGCAGAGGATGATGGTTCTGAGTTTTTACAAGAGCTGATTGACGTGGGGGCAACCATGGTACAGGAACGGATTCCTGGTGCAGCACTGATGCGGCTGGGCCAGGTTGTTGAGCGCATGTACCAGCTCGTAACCCAATGGAAAAAGAAAGAAAGACCTGCCTGCGCTGGGCGCTTCCCGTCCACAATGTCGGTGATGGCCTTGACGCTGAACATGGGCACGCCAAATAAGCTCGCCGACCAGGCAATGGCTGCAGCCTCCATCTCCTGTGGCGAAGAAGAGGGGATTGTGGGAGTGGAGGGCTGGATGGGAAGAGAGTAATGTGCAAGCTGGCACTAGCTAAATGGACGTCTGCATGACCATGAAATGGGCCAGGCGAGCAGACGCCGCAGCCTGCTGGAATCCCGTCTGCTCAGGACACCCGTTTGGCTCCACCTCCTACCCCGCCCAGCCTCCCTTTCTCCCCTCCCACTTTGACGGAGGTGTCATGCTCCCGCATGATCTCCATGTCCCGCTCGACGTAGTCCAGGGAATTCCCAGAGGACACCAGCCCCGCCTTCAGTCCCAGCGCTGCCTGGAGCTGCGGCGTGGGCAGGGCCGCGTGCAGACCCAGCCCATACTGGTCGAAGCCCTGTGGCAAGAGGATGGTCAAAGAGGAGGATGGTCTGTGTGTGAGCGTCACCCCTAGGAGCACACCCAGGCGGACAAGCATGCGGGTTGGAACTGGCTCTGCGGTGCCCTGGGCGGAGACAGGAATCCCTTGCCAGCGCAGCGCTGCGCACGCCGGCGACGTTTCAGTATCTTCGGACACCCGAAGAGAGCTCTCATGCCCCTGCACCCACCACCCACCACCCAGCGCACCCTCTTACCGGGATCGGGATGCGGCGGTCGTGGTTGACGGTGGCGGTGGAGAGGAAGACGTCGCCGATGGCGGCGCCCTGGGCGCCAAACCCGCCGGCCGTGCCCGTGGAGATGACGAGGTCGGGGTCAAAGGCCTGCAGCGCCAGGTAGGCGGTCAGCGCGGCGGGGACGGTGCCCACGTTGTCCACGCCGTGCTTTCCACACTTGCCGTTCACGACCACGTGCACGTGGGCGCCGGCGTGGGAGCCAGAGAAGGAGACGCAGGGGGCGGGCTCCGGGATGACGCGGGGTGTGTCCTGCACCAAACCCAGGGCCTGGATCAGGGGGGCTGCCTCGGCCTCCATTGCTGGGTGGTTGTGGGGGTGAGAGTGTATGGGGATGAGACACGTGAGGGAGGGTGTCCAGCGACACAGGACACAAGACTGTGCAGTGCTCAATTCAGAAGATGGGGTGCCAGTTGTAAAGTGCATCCCGGGGTTCAAATGCAAGGCCGAGGTCCATGGTAAGCATCAGCCGCCCTGCGACACTCACCAATCAGGACCAGGATGCGCTTGATCTGCTTATCCGTCAGTGAGGCCAGGTACGCAGCCTGGGCAGCCTGCACCTTGCCTGTCACAGTATTTAGGTTGTAACCTCAGGAAAGATTGCAGGTAGCGGCTGTACGTCACTGGATCCTCTCAATGCACAGTGAGCTCCAGTTCCCATGTGGGCACCTGCAGGCGTGCTGACCAGCACGTCGGCCTCGAGACCATGGGACTGCTCCGTCATGATGCTACTCGGTGTAATTATGAGGGGACTTGGACGGCAGGCGAGGTTCAGGCGTGTGTTCTGTGCTGCTTGATCAGGGCCTCGACTCCAAGTGCCGGCGCCACGCACACCCACTGCCAACCCGGGAGCGACGACGGTGAGGACCCTTCAGACCCTTAAAAATGCGACCGATGTCCCGATTTATGACACTGCCAGACAGGTGGTGGAGCACTTCGCCGGAAATCTCACCTCCCTAATCACTGCCGTTGTGCCAACAAGGTTGGGGCGCGGAAATCGGTCATGGGTGACCTCCCGGCCGGGGGATCGCCGCACGCCATCACCACAGAGACCCATAGATGGAGCAGAGGTTGTGCTCTTTCCCAATGCCGTGTCGTGCACCTCGAATCAGCTCGCCCTCATCCCAGGGCAGCTGGCGACGGCTTGTAACTCCACCCAGTGTAGGCCTCAGCATGGTCTTGAGGAGTGCAGACCTATCGATTTGGGATGTGTGACTGCACTTCATTTCCATGAGCACCGATCTGACGCCTGATGAGGCTAGCACTGGAGTTTTGGACACCTTGCAGTGGGTAAGATCACTTCGCTGCGAGCTGCCGTGCACCGCGCACACGCCTCCCGGCCTGTGACACCATTCCTCTACGCTCGCACCCCAGCACCCCAGCAAGCGTGTTCGGCACATCAAGGGCATCCTCGCTCGCAGACTGCCGAGGGGATCTGACGCTGTCTGCGCCGCCCTCTTCGTCCCATGGTCTGAAGCTGGCGCCAAGGATCGCAGCAATGATCCCTCCAGATGCTGGAAGGCCATCTACGTCAGCGAGCGGGTGCGGTTGCTTCCCACAGTACTGTATGGGCTCGTTGTTATCCGTCCAGCTGTGCATAAGGAGTGCATACAGTGAGTGGCCTGCCCGACTGCGGCGAGGTCTGCAGCATGTTACACTCCTTGCGCAACTGACCCTCCATTCCAGGTGCGAGCCTCGAGCGACCCAGACTGGGCACCTGTCTCTTGGGTTGACTCGGACCTGCCCAGTGCAGTTCTGGCCTCCAAGACTGTGCTCCTGTCGCTGTACGGATCCGCCGATGGGATTGAGGTGGACCCTTGTCCCCTGCCCGTCATGCAATCCCCGACCGACGAGTCCAAAAACGGTGCTGAGGACGCGGCTAACTGTGGGCGACAAGAGGTGGAAGAGGTGAGCCGTGCAGATTCCTGCACCCCCTCGCCCAGCTCGTCTGCCAGAGTGCCCCAGGCAGAGCGCGACGCCGATCCCTCACCAGACCAAGCCTGCAATGGAGACGCACAGGCGCAGGCCTTCAGTCCTGCGGCGCCGTCCCCGCTCGCGAGCAAGCAAGGGCAATCAACCTTGCCTGATTCCAACGAGAAGCACTACCCTTTGAGCCGGTGTGACACAAGTGCAGCGCCGGCACACCCCGACACCGGCGCCCCGTCTCTCTGCGCGTGGCGACTAGACCTAGGTTCCATGGTCCGGGTCCCGCCCGACTTCGTGGAATGGGAGGCCGAAAGCGTGGCCCTGCACCTTGATAGCGGCTGGTACGCTTTCCCCACCCCGGGCCTGGACCCCTGCCAGCCGCCAGCAGCCGTTCCAGTGGTGAGGCGGATGCGTGGTGTGCATGGGCGGGCCAGGCCGGGGTCCCACCAGCTGCCAGGTCCTGGTCACGCTGTGGTATGAGTCTCATGCCTGTGGCTTTTGTTTTGAGTATCTTCGCCATCGCCAGCCCAGCATGGCCCCTTACACACTCCCCTGATCCTCCTCTTCCCACCCACCATCACCACCCCAGCAGCCCTCCGGCCTCCAGACGCCCAGCAGGGCAGAGAGCCCTGAGTACGGCTCTCCGCCTCGAAGGGGGGCCGACACGGCCGGCCGCGCGCTGCCGCCGGCCTCGCCCTCGGACGCGGCGGCGGGCGAGCCCGGCGTGCCACGCCGCCTGGCCGCCCTGCTCATGTCGCGCCTGCTGCCAAGCAGTCTGAGCCTGGCGGGCGGCTCCGGCACGGCCACGCCCGCCCTCCCCGGCTCCCAGCCCGGTTCGGAGGCGGGCGACACGGTGCCGGCCCCCTGCCAGCTGGGCCTGGGCCAGCTGGCCGGCGCCGCCGCGGCCTTGGCCGCCCGCCGCGCCGAGGCCGAGCGCCTGCGCGGCCGGGTTGC